TATTATTATTATTATTATTATTATTATTATTATTATTATTTGAGGGGAGGCGGTAAGTCGAGGGTTTACGGTAGATATATACCAAAAAAAAGGTTACATCGACCAGAGATGATGTCAAAATGTGGTGACAACAAAAAAGTGGCACACGAGCCGTCGGGTGAGAGTGTGACAGATGGTCTTGTTATACCTCAATGTTATCCTAAGTTTCGCCTCGAAAAACATAGAGGGTCTCACTATTTCCCTTGGGATCCTTCATTAAGAGCTTATTTTTACATTTTGACGTTTTCTGTGATCTATTACTCAACAGCTGCATAGTAAAATGGAGATCGACGTGCTTTATCATAATTAAGAAAAAACCAAAAATAAAGCATTGTTGACGTCATACACACGTCTATCTTCCAATGGATCACAACTAAGAAATGTATTTCTCATATTTGTAGTCAATCTTCCTCCTCGATTTTCAAAGGACATCGACTACTTCGCTGTACTTGACGAAACCCTAGAGCTAACTATTGATGTCGTAGACCCTGAAGGCATGCCTGTCACGGTCTCACTAATGGACGGAAGCTCAGCCAAGGCTGTAGTGCGCGATAACGTGTTGATATGGAACGCCACTAATGATGCAAAAACGCAGTTCGTCCTCAAAGCCACGGATGCATGCAAAGCTACCTCTTACGTTAATATCACCGTATCCCTGGTCGTTTGCCAGTGTCAGAACAACGGAAGATGTGTGCCTCATCCAAGCAAGCCCAGGGGGTCAGGGCTTTATGAATGTCAGTGTTTACCTGGATATACCGGAGACGAGTGCGAGACTAACATCGATGAGTGCCAATCGTATCCATGTTTTCGAGGTATGATAAATGGCTGTTAGCGCGGCACCGGCTCTTGTTTTATGGCTAGTACTGATGCAGGTGACATTTTATTTTTCGATAATCCTTAGAAATTAAAGTTACGGTACGTGCAGGTTAAATTAAGGGGATTCACAGGAGCAAAGCAGATTTCTCAAGTTTCTAGGAAAGTGATGACAATAAAAAAAGTGAGAAAAATGGTTAATGTTGCAACATATCGGCTCATACGAGTTCATTAATACTAGGAAAATGTACCCAGTAGCGTTAGTTATTTCTCGAATTGTAGGTTAAGGTATGAGGGTTAGTTGGACTCTTTTGCTGTCCGTCATGTTCGCAAATCTTTAACACTATATTGCTCTCCTCCATAGCTCTGAGTATCAGAGTTTCAGTCCAGTTATCTCGTAATCTACTCTTCCGCCACTGTTTGGCTCTTTGATTTTTTTTAGGATTCAATGCAGGGGTGTTATTTGACCTGTTATTATATCACTTTTACTTACTACTAGGTCGGTGTATTGATGGACTTAACAACTACACCTGCCTCTGTGATACTGGATACGTTGGAAGCAACTGTGACATTGATTATGATGACTGCAGCTCTTCTCCTTGCATTCATGGTCAGTGCTGTGGAATGTGTGTAATCGTTACTTTTATTTTATTTATTTTATTTAATTTTACTTTATTTATTTATTTATTTTTTTATTTTTTTTATTTTTTTGTTGCCACGAATCGAATACTCATAACATTAGAGACAGAGACAGAGAGTGAAATACTCTCTCTATATATATACATAAAAAAAATATACTCGACCATTCCGGCCATGGAAGGACCGAATAAGGCAAACGCTTTTAAGGCTCCCCTAATCAAATCTTTAAGAACAGCAGAATTGGGGTGGGCAAATTTTGGAGTGGGAGTAGAAGATGTAAGAGAAAATATCTTATAGAGGATGAGGTTTAATAAGAGGATTTATGTTAAATACAACCATTTAAAATAGCATTTGCAAAATACGGTTTAACACTGTTACGCGGCCATCCTCGTGAAAAGAGCAGTTTGCTGCTAAAAAGAGCTTTGTCCCTTATTTAAAANCATTTAAAATAGCATTTGCAAAATACGGTTTAACACTGTTACGCGGCCATCCTCGTGAAAAGAGCAGTTTGCTGCTAAAAAGAGCTTTGTCCCTTATTTAAAAAAGACCTATAAGATAGAATAACATCTGCTACAAGGCATGGTTGAGAGATTCTCACTTTCAAATTTATTTTCAAGTTGGTGTATCCGGTACAAAACTCTTCCTCCTTTATATTTCTTAATTAGCGCGCGGTCGATCCATGACCAGGCTTGACATTGTTACGGCATGTGTTCATTGCTACAATGTGAGTTGCGTGGCCTTGTTTTTAAAATTGCTATCTTTGATGAGAGTATATATTGTTGGGTTTGAATTTTCGTGTTTACAGGAAAATGCACGGATTACACAGGCTCGTATAAATGCACTTGTGATCCTGGATACAGTGGGCATAATTGCACTATTGACATTGATGAATGTGAATCTTCACCATGCAGACATGGTAAGGAAAATACTACTTCCACTACTCACAGAGGCTAGTGGGAAGTGTAGAATTAAGACTAATAAAGAGGGGCAATTTTAAGGGGCAGTACCAAATTTACGCGTGTGTGAACGTTTAAAGGCTGAAACCAAACGTACCGTTTGTTGCTTTTCAAAAATAAGTTTAGACTTGTGTAAAATAAGGGTAAATACTTCTGTACGATTGATCTCTTTTTTTTTTTTAATCTTTTCTAGGGGACTGTGTCAATCAGGCTAATAACTACACCTTTCAATGCGAGGATGGCTATACTGGTCGCGATTGTGAAGAGGAAATCGACGAATGTCAGTCGTCTCCTTGCATTCGTGGTAAGCATGCTC